TCTTAATGGAAAAATTTTCAACAATATGGATAATCAACTAAAACATTGCAGTGAACTAAAAATAAACATTCTCCAAATCAGCCAAAATGAATAATTAATAATGAAATTTACAATTCGAACAAAAGTTTCTTTACACCATAGAAAGAAAAAAATTCTTACGGATTATACGGATTGCAGTAATCGCAAATATTGTCAACCGAAGCGTTCGGCGGAAGCACGATACTCGCTTGTAGAAGATGATCGCCCACCATACATACCCTCAAATGCAAAAATTAAATTTACACGAGGAAACTAATTCAAGTCATAATCGAAAATCTTGAAATTTATTGAACTCTTCACAAACGGAGACAAATTATTAATTTCAGATGTTCATTATCTCAGTGACGAGCAAAATTAAGACTGACCGTTGTCCACTATTTGGATTAATAGTCTTCTCGATTCCTCCGGCATAACATGCCAAAATTGATAAAATAACACACATCAACGATACCTGAAAATAATAATCGCTTTAATTAATATATCTAATAAATTACTACTGCTTAATGCGAATATGGTGGAACCAACATGAAATAAGATCCCCACTGTATCGTTCAATTGAATCATTCATGCAAATCAGCTCACATGTTGAAAAATATTCGATAAATTTCATTTTTTAAATACAAACGGCTTCAAAAATATAAATGAAGATACTGATCACATTTTGAAGGACAGAATGAAAGGTATCGTAAAAAATCTTAGAAAATGAGAAATAAACTGACCGGTGCAAGCAGTTGAACAAAGCGAACGCCCATCGCAACAATGCAAAATTCGATAATCAGCAATACCGTTGAATACAACCGTAAATTGTGTGACATCATACCCATTAAACCTGTTCAATAACAAACTTTTTATAACTCTAAAAAACTGAACACATTGAGTACTGCTTAATTGTATCCATGTTCAAAATTTTCAATTATTAAGAAACAATTTCTCGATAAAAATTCCTATCAAACGAAATCGTTGAAGTAATCTACTGAAGATCCAGATGTCTCTCCAACCTGTATCAGATTGCACTCCACGTCCACCAATTGTGAGATCGGGAAATATGTATATCTGCAATAAAAACAAACTTTAACAAATAGAAATGTTAAAAATTTTCCAAAAAATTCCCAAACTATTTCGATTAAAATTTGTTACATTCATCACAATTAAAAAATTTGTTTGTTTCATTGTTAGAGTAATGTTATATGCGAAAGTCACTCACCAAAAGGATTTCAATACCACCAACAAGGTACATGGAAGTAGCGACCGTATTGGCCAAATAAAACAAAATGCCGACCGCAGAACCGAACTCAGCACCCAAATTCCGTGATATCATGAAGTATGCGCCCCCGCTCTTCACTTCACCATTCGTTGCGACAGCCGATAAACTTATACACGTTAGAAATGTCTGAAGTTTATCATTTTTAATCACTTTTATTATCATCATCATTATCATTCAATTCAATTCAAAATTCGATTCAACCATGAACCACGTAGAGATTTCACTTTCAATTTCAAAATATCACTATCATTATCATTATTGTTATTTCTATCATTACTATTACTCTTAAAATCACCATCAGAAATGTTTCCATTATCATAATCAGTATCACCGATAACGAATGAATTGAACATATAAAAACTAACACACAAACAACACAGAGCAAGTAACAAGAAAGTGTGAGCAATTCCCGCAATGCCCACAACCCAGAACAATCGAATAAACATCGTAACACCGAGTATATGCTGTATCGTCGGCAAATATACACCCAACATCACCCCCAATTTGTCCTGAAACGCAATTTCAGGTTAATGAATACTCGTACTCTAAACTGAAACGAATCACATAAAATGTTCGTGTATTGGTGAAACGCTCGTGTGAATAAGCAACAAATTATGATTTCACTTGTGTAANAAATTGTTAAGAATAAACCGAAATTTTGAAAAGATATCAAGAGATGCAAAATAACCTTTGATTTCTTACTCTCGGCTCGTTCCCGCAGACCAGGTGCGATAAAACCTTTCAAGAAAGTACTCACTAGTGGTACTTCTTCGAATAATGCCAGATTATTCCCTTCGGTGTTCACTTTCAAATTTGTTGATGACCACGAACTCAGTGGTGTCTTCGGTTGTTCATTACCTGAATTGTTCTATTTTTTAGTCATACATTCATCATGTTTTATTAGCAGACTGATTCATCTGATTCACAAAATACCATTGCCCAAAACAATGAGATTTATTACACTTAGCGATTCGCTTCATCTCGTAGATCAAAACGTAAAATTATTTCAAACATTCCTTGTGATATCATCAAATGATAAGTATTCGAAAACAAATTCTTCAATGCATAATGAAGTTATTCTCTGTGATATCATCAAACGATACGTGTTCAAAAACAAATTTCTCAATGCATAATTGTCATTGAAGTTATCTCATAACGAAGCCATAACACTTTCATGAATACAAATTGAAATTATTCTACAGCTTAATGAGCAGCATTAATCTCATTTATAGTAAACAAATGAATCGAGTCAAGCGATACACAGAATCAACGAACTCAGTGGTGTTGATGCTTTTATTAAGGCATCAGTTTCGCGTTCACCATTCGATGGTGTGTTATCGTTTGCCGTGTTCGGCACCGCAATTGTCTCCGATGCTTTCGAGCGAGTCGACGATATCCCTTCGGTACTCGTGCCATCGATAAACTGAATTTTCGCCTGTTTACACGACGCTCAAAATGATCCCATTAATGAATGCTGCAGCGATCACATCGCTGCCAGTCTTGACGTCAACATCAAATGCATATTCAAGTGAAAGCCTATCGATCTAGAGGAATCACTTACATTCAGTTGTTTCACCTTCATAAGCATATAATTAGTTTGGTATCGAGATGGACCTATGCTTACTAACGGAATTTTGAGAATTCCAGAGAATTTAAGAATCCAAATAGAATTCCAAAAAAAAGTTTTCATTCTCACAAATTCTTTGAGAATTCCAGACTATTTTGTGGGGGAAAAAATCTCATAGGGAAATTTTCGGAATTCATAGCGAAATTAAAATTTTCGGAATTCATAGCGAAATTACCACTTTCCTATTAGGCATTCAAATCTCTGAGAAATCTGATCACAACGCAATGAGCAATTTTAAAATCAATTTGCAGAATTTCTTCAACATTCTCTTTCATTTATTGATTTTTCGTTCGTTATGATTACAAATAAAACTATTGAAAATTTTTGATGAGCTTTTGAATTTTGTCTGTTCGACTTCGAAATTCATTACAACCACACTTTTTCACAAGCAAAAAATTCCAATAAAAATATCGCATCTGTATGCTTAATGCTGTTTGTGAAGAATAACGACGAAATGTGCTGCGCTGTGCTAGGAGATGCGCCGTTTGAATGTAATCTCAACGATAATTGTATTGTGCACATGCCACGATACAACCATCTAAATGCATTAGATTCGATCAACAAAATGAGAAAACTCAACGCAAAATGAACGAAATTCGGAAGATGTTTGTTGAATCTGTCCAAAAAACAAAAAAATTCGAGATAAACAACGAAAAAATTTGCTTGAAAATGCAACTGAACTAAATAGATATTCTGAGCAGAGCCATAAATAACTTTCGTTGTGTATATATGCTATTATAGGGAGTATAATTCCAAATGATTGCATTTGTTGCAGTCTGAGGTTTGTGTATCAGTTAGATGACTGGATTAAATGTGCGGAAGGGTGATTGAATAATTATTTCAGTTCTCTTTTGCAATGAAATGCGAAGATATGAAGAAAGTTTGAAAAAGGCTAGAACAGAAGGAAGTCACATGCGATCGTGTTTATTGCAAGAACAAAATCTGCTCTGGCTATAGTGAACATCTGATGATAAAAGTTGAAAAAATAACGATAAGAATATATTTCTACGTTTCCGAAGCGGAATCGAATTGCTTTTTCAAATTTCTCCTATGATTTTCCCATCGAATTCTAATTTCAAATTTGCCCAAATTCTCTTCCCCATGTTTATTCAACAACTCAAATGCGAATTCCCCATCTTATTCGCATATAACAATCATGACCACAGACACATTTTCTTAGTAAGAACATGGTGCTACTCATTACCTATTTAATAATTTCGAATTTATAAATCCAGACAGCTGCTCATTGCATAAAAATAAGACGAGCAATTTGTGATCATGCTGTTCATGCGTATAATCAGATCACGTTCAAGTACATATTCATCACTGNNNCAGACTAGTGAAACGCCTAATTCCATATAACGCGTACTATGAAGTGAGGCAAATTATTGAATTTTTTTCGCAATGAACCAACGAAAATAAGCTTTGTTTATTGGAAGAATTTGTGGTTGTCTGCAATGCAGTAATATCCAAAACCCAAAAACATCCTTTCTATTTTTCTTGCCATACTCTACGCATCGTTATTCAAATTGATTTTATCCAATTCAGTCTACATTGTTGGATTTTATATAGACTCAGAATACGCTAAACAAATCCATAAATACTGCCCTTACTCCAGACACAATTTTTACTACCACTGAAAAATTTCCACTAGAAAACAAGAGAAGACTACTGAGGAATAATGAATTGCATCATTATTCGGTGATAAGTGATGATCATCAATATTAATCATAACACTGACAACGCTAGTGATAAAGGATGATGTCAGTGGTGAATATATCAATGATAGTGATGAATAAAGAACAGTAACAATTAAGAAGACAATGAAAGAACCTAACAAAAATAATAATAATAAAAGTGATATAATAAATAAGAATAACAGTGAATAATAAACGAATATATGACAATAATGAATAATAATGCTGACCGTTTCAGGAATAGATTCCATCTTTGAATCGTTATTGGTCCGGTCTGACGAGGCTTCTCGAGGTGTTGTTGAATTACTCTGCAACTGTTTCGGTAACTCGGTGACGGGTGTAACAACGAAATGACTCATCGCAATCGATGCCGACGGCTGTTTATCGAGACTATTCGCACTTAAATTCCCGTTCATGCTTCACGATCGNTCCTCTAATCACACCATTCACAATATCTGAAATATTTATTTCATCATCTTGCATTCGGCCGGTCATTTCAAACGCTAAAAAACATTGCGTTTGCGTCAATTGCAAAATAACACCGACAGCATGTGAATAAAAAGAAATTTCAAATCATAAACAATCATATGAAAAGAAATCTGACAATGAATATAAAAAGAAATCACTAAAGCCGAACAGACCAATACTAATATTACCACAATTATAAATACTCAATACTGCATTCCAAATCGGATATTCAATTCAATCACGATGAATTTCATATCAACAGCTTTTTACGGACGTTCTCAGCACATCGAAAAATTATTGAGACAGGAATCAGAAAACATATTCGGTGTTCTCAGAACCAAATTGCATATAGAACCAAAAGGAACTGTAAGCCGGATGCGTATGATATCGGATTTATGATCGCTTCAGAACGCTTTTGAATGAGAGAGGTGTTAAAAATAATAAGATACCAGTTCACATCTAGGAGAATAATTCATACTGAAGTAACTTACAGAACATCCGCATTATGTTATGCATCAGAACAAGACCATAACGGCGATATGCACAAACACAGTTTTTTAGGTAACATGAAAGATTAGTTGATATAACATTCATCAATACATGTAAAGCCCACTAAATGGTTCTCATACGATGAAGAAATTCCCGGAAACAATATATCCACAATTGCATTTAGGGGAAACGAGTCAACGGATTCCTTGTGAGCAAATGAACAAGGAAATCGAACATATCAAGGAATCAGAAACTGGAATGCTGCGAAGCGGAATCAAGCAAAACACTTTAATATTCATCAAGTTATATCACGCAATGGTCATTCTTCCTCCTTCAGTACTCAATAAAATGCATGAATCGAAACCAAGTATCGTGAGCAATTCGATGCACTTAATAATCGATTTGCTGACCACTCTCAATGAATAATGATAAAGAAGTACTACTTATATCGTACAACAAACTAATACTTATATGGGTCCCAAGCAGCCCAACTCGAACACAATCGCCAGTCACGACAACCTAAAAAAACCCCCTCAAAATGATATTCAGACCTACTGCTNGAAACAAATCATACGAGAAGCATTACATCGAATGTTCATCACAATGACGGTGTCATCATGTTCATCGTGTTGTTTTAAAGAAATATAAATGCAAGTACATGTATATGATAACGTTATCAGAACGATAACAGAGTAGCTGCTTTACTGATATTGATGGCACTGATAAGAGTGAAGTACACAACAACACCTTTAAAATAATATCAATAATTTAATCCGGTATGACTCACGCTTTAAGCGTAATACATTATGCTTTAACGCATAACAATTTCAACAATTCACAATACAGAAACTAAAATATGGAGAACCAATAAACTTTCTGCGGAATGCACAGAAATAAAGCATGAACTTGAAACAGCAATTGCACGCACATACATTAAACTCAATAGAATTTCTTAGAGCACAAGTACAGGTGTACCTCAGATTCGAGTTAAGTCGTTCTCGATTGTACATCGTTCTTCAAAAAACATACATTAGTAAATTTAGATTACTCTTCTTTGCATTATATTAGAAGAAAATTTATTTAGTTGTAAGATTAAAATAGTTTCTAATTTACTGCACGACGCATGAGGTCAGAACTAATTTCCCGATCCCCCCCCCCCCTTCCATTACCCTTTGACACCTCCCAAAAATGGGTTATTTCCACCTTCGGGGACCACCGGTCTATAAATCCATCAATTCTCAACAACAACGGTAATAATCTTAAAGATCGCCGATGAAAATATTGAAAATAGTATTAAATATTAATTTCCAGTAATCATGCAATAAGGAAAATGTCATTTGCTATTAATCCAACGTATCTCCTTGTTGACATGAAAAAACCGCAAAGAAAATTCCTATTCGGTTTGGATATAAATCACCACTGCAATCTCAAATCTTAAAGTATCCTTTTGGAACTAGAAATTTTTCTAGACATTCACACAATCTGAAGTATTAATGAAAGAGCACTGGAGATTACTGACCATAGCCTCGTATTCATTAAAATAGCGATTAACAAAAATGAAACTTGAAGATTACTACTACTCAAAACAAGATCAAAAATCGACGATCGAAAATCTGAAATTTTGTTTCCTTATCAACACCTTATCAAAATCCGATAAGCCTAATCACTATTATCAGTCTCAAATATCATTGGCATCTAAATAATGAACGTTTGAAACCAATTTTCATCTCCAATAAAGCTAAATCATGCAACGTATTCCACGTATGCTCGCAAAAACAATTCGACATTTCAAAAAATGATGACTGAATTTGATATTTAAAAAAATGATTTAAAATTCTAAACACATTTCAGAGAGGATTTTCGGGAAAGCGAAATAAGCATTAAAAATCAACAGAATTTCAACATTTTCAGTAGCTTTAAGAAAACCTCGAATCCCCTATTATACGTTAAAACGCCAAGAAAACTTTACGATATCGTAAAGTAATATTTTCTGCAGCGATTTTCGACAAACTACGATTATCAAAAGCAATTCGCCGAGCAACAAATAGCAATAACATGAAGTAAGTAAATGCTCAATAGAACGAAACGAAGTGTTTCGCGATTCGAATATTCGATCGTCGAACTTCAGCAAACAATCATATAAAGACCATCCATCTCACTGCTCAATATTTCTGCGAGTACGTGAGCAAATAAAATGAAATTTGAGATGAAGCTGTCACAAAATATAAAAAAACACAACTCATAAATGAATCACTTCATTCAAAACAACATTGAAAGTTTCTAAAAATCTGACATGAATGAATAAGTTAAAATGTTGAAAAAAGTTTTTTCGAGAAATTCAAATGCCAAAATATTGTTAACAAAACGTTGCGATGGATACCGGAAAGGCAGATTTTTACTTCTAAATGTACTAACTTTTGATTCATCAACTAATTTATTGTCGCTCGGTAAACGTTCGACTTTTAGTGGTGAATCCGAAAAATGAATCAAAATTGAGAAATGCGATCATGAGTCACGTTTGATCAGAAAATGAATCATATTCTCACATTACCTATTGTCATCAATGCTGCTGAGGCAGTGACAAATAGACACGGTGACGCAAGCACGAGGGAAACTGACGGATCAATTTTCCTTCCGCAATATGGATGACTCTCACTCATATTGCGGATGAAAAGTTGATTGTGAAGTAGTGGACTTTAAGTACTGGAAGTGGAATATCTAATAGAAACTAGTTTTAAATGAGATATAACCGATTGAAATGATTTCCGCCGGATAGCGCAACTGCATGATGAATTAATTCCCTTCTTGTTCCGCAACATTGTAACTGACAAATTTTTTGCAACCTATCAGAGCAGGAAGAACACTTAATTCATCGATAATGTTGTTCTCATAGTGCATATAAAATCAACATTTCAAATTTTATATTCAAACGTTCCAGAAGGAATTCGAAATATCAGGCGATGAACGTGAGCCCTAATGTTTGCACACTTCAAATCTCTCGATCACAAGTGATCATCTCAGAAAGACTCTCAAAACCGAAACACGAAACAAGTACCATAATACAGACACTAATAATTGCACGTCGTACAACTCGACTGTAACTTACAAAACATCGCCAATTGTTAAAATTCCAATGAATTCGATAGATCAATAGAGCAATTTTGTATTCTGTCAACAGTAACAACGTCATAAAGCCGCATAGTAGATTATATTCGAGACATAATATTATAAAAATATAAAGCAAAAGTCTTCGATATCGTAAAATTCATATGTCGTGGGGTATTTTCTTTCTAAATTACAGCATTCATAATTCATACGATAGATGGATGCTGCATGGCGAATTACTATATCATTTTCAGAACGGTAATGCCACGTCTTAACAGTGATTACATAGTGGATTATTTAATGCGATTTTTCGGACGTTTATTTTGATTATATATA